GTGGTTTCTTATACAGCTATCCCCCGAAAAGTGCGTCACCCACTGAGTTGCACCCACCGCTTTTTCTCGGCGAAACCCAGTCGGTCTGATTTTTCGCAGTGAGTAGACCCTACTCACCCAATGGAGAACTAGTCACTCGCAGAAAATCAGAGCACTTGGTTCAAAACCCACCGAGAAAAAGCGGTGGGTGCAACTCAGTGGGTAACGCGTTCTTCGGGGCATAGCATAGCATAGGAGGAAGAACAAGGGGATCTAAAATAAAATGACATTGTTAGCTCGCAAAAAGAGTGGGAGGATGTAGAACTGAGCCATTCACAGGCGTGGTACGAATCAAAAACAAATTAGTTTTAAGGCTACGTCATCGCAAATCGAATTAATTGAGAAAAAGTTTATCAAATGTTGGACAGGATTCATATGGACGAAAACACCAGCATTCTCTGAAATATTTCGTGTTCAACCTCCCAAAAAAGGATTGAATGCTTATAGTCAGCATGTTACGTCTATTATGGATTGTATTAAATTGTTTATTTCTAATGGAATAATTCAAAAAATCATTCGTTATACGAATGAAAATGGACGCGACGATCCCAAAGAGAAAAACTGGATGAAATTAACGGAAAAAGAGATCTGGGCATTTTTTGGACTATTGATAAAAGCTGATGTACAGAAGCAACGAAAAACACCAATAAAAGCGCTCTGGAATACTGAGTATTTTCTTCGCCAAACATTTTTTCCGACAGTAATGTCTAGAAGCAGGTTTCAAGCCATTATGAGACATCTGCGATTTGATTGTCGCACTGATCGTAGTTTATTGCTCAAAAATAATGATCAGATAGAGGCGATTCGGTTGGTTTATGATGAGTTTGTCAGCAATTGTATAAAAAGCCACAATCCATCCCAAATCATCACAATCGATGAAAGCAAATATATCATATTAACAATATGATCCATTCATGCCTTTTCCAAATATTGCAATGGCGACCCGCAAAATATTGCTTCACGCACCATCTAGCGTTGAAAAAGGTCAGCAACAATCATTCAATTACAATCGAGGGGTGCGAATATAGCACTTATTACAAAAGTAAGAGTCACATTATTTTCAGTAATTACATTGTGTATATTACTTTAAAATTTGTCTGACATGTCAATGTTGTCATCAAATAAAATAATATGCTAAAATACATTCATTTGAAATATTAAACAAATTTTCATTTGGTTTACCCCTCGTGACAATAAACAAATACATTGGTAGCCTTTTTGGCCACAGAGGTGCTTTCATCGGTAAAAATTTGGTTCGCCAGCTAAGCGAAAGAGTGGATCATATTGTAAATATAATATATTTGATGAAAGGCAAGTTCCATTCAAAGGAGGATGTAAATTTGGAGTTAACATGAAAAGCAAACATGGTCGGCATAGATTGAAAGTATGGGTTGCAGCAGATTCAGAAAATGAATACGCCTGCAATCTACAAGTTCACTTCCCAGGTAATAGGCGTTCCTACTTTTGTAACATATATTGTAACTTTCTGGTCTTGTTATAGGTTCACATTTATTGTCAAAGACATCTCAAGGAAGCAGTAAACAGTTGCCGAGTGAAATAGGAAGCATAGCCAAATGCAAGAAAAAGTGTATCCGATCAAAGAAAACCGTCAAAGTTTAAAAAAAAACCTAAAATACGAGAAGAGAATCAAGGTCGTCGAGTTGTTATGGACTTGGTACAACCTTTTCTGGATCAGGGAAGAGAAGTAGTAGTCGACATTTTTTTTCTTCAGTAGATTTTGCAGAAAACCTACTTGAGAGGAAAACTTACTTGACAGGAACTCTGTGTAAAAACAAAAGGGAAATCCCGTTAGCATTTTTGCCTTCAAAATCTCGCAAAGAGTATTCATCTTTGATTGGGTACAACAAACGGTTAACATTAACCTCGTACGTACCCCAAAAGCACAAAGCTGTTCTTGTGCTGTCAAGTAATCCTCATATTCGTGGCATATCTTCCACTGAAAAACATAAACCAAATATTGTATTGCATTACAATGCTTTAAAGCAGGAGTTGACACTTAAGATCAGGTCACAAGAGACACTTCATGTGCCAGAATCACGTATCGTTGGCCTGTACGATTGTTTTGGGATCTTGGCTGGAACAAAAATAATTCTGGCAGGCGAACGCTATTCATAAAATATGCATCTTATTTTATGGTAGAAGGTTTCGATACTCAGAGATTAGAAAAATCTGTTGCTGGTGGAATACCACTTGAATGTCATTATGACATGCACATGTTATTGCAGCACATCGATGAAGTACGACGAAATCTGCCAGGATACTCACATACATACCCTCAGAGTTCTGCAAACCCTTCTGAAAATCGTATTTCTTGCGCAATATGTAGCAATCGTCGCAAATCTACAATCCTCTCATGTGAAACGTACAAACAGTATTATTGCCAAAAAAATCGATGGGAAAAGAAGAGAATCAGCTGCATAAAAGACTGCTCATCAGATCGTAGAACACACGCCAAAAAACTTAGGAAGACTGTTTGCGAGTGCGGAAAGCGAAGTACAGTTACATGTGTGAATTGTAGCTCATGTATTTGTTCAATCCACAGGAAAACAGAAGTGCAATATTTTTATAAAAATGTATATGTAGCTTGAACGGAAATGTATTTGGTGCATTATTATTTGTTTTTATCAGGACTGAATGATAAATAAAAATTTAAATAAACTAAACAAAAGACACTAATCAATTGGTCTGAATGAATGAAATAAAAATGGGGGTAGGCTAGGGGTTAGGAGTAATTTATCTTTGAGTTGTTTAACTATTTGGGCATAAAAAATAAAATAAAATTAAACATTTGGGCTTCTAAACCTGCTAGTACTACAGTTTGGTAAAAGCGTAACTCGTGAAAAATTGTCTGAATTTAAAAAAAAACTTGTTCAACAAAAAAAACGTTAACATTTTATTTTCTGCGAAGTCAATTTAATTCTTAAATTGTTATAATATGGACGACTTTGCACTTTTGCAGGAAAAAGTTTGACTAACAATATTTTTTTCTGTCTCCTTTAAAAATATTCTAAGCAAATTCAATAATTACGTAACCATATTTTCCAACACTTTCAAATCCCCTCCCCCATTTGTAAAATTTTCTTCATATAAAATTGACTTATTTTGAATTGGTAAGATACAAGAAGAGGTTGCAAAGACTGTGTTTGACATATTAAACCTGTTTATTTCACTTCATGAGAGTCACAATCAGCGATTTTTCACACACTCACTCACTCACTCACTCAGCAATCAGCAAATCGCTGAATGTGGCTCATAGAAAGCAAAATTTACAGGTTTTATGTTTCAAACGCATACTTTGTAACCTCTTCTTGTAAGTTACAAGTAAAACATGTCATCATACCATCTTTTGGTTTTATTATTCCGAAAAACATTATTTTAGCTGAAATGAGTGTTTGCAACCTTGCCAGCACCCTAACAAATGATAGTTAAAATGTTGTGGGTGAGAGGACTTTGAGAACGGGCACCAATATATTGTATATACCTCCGAGCCACTAACCTGAAATTAAGTCGACACTTTTTGGAATTCACTCACTATTTTTGCAATAAATTCGATAATTTAAACCATAATAATATTCGATAATTTCTATATAATTTAGTATTTTTCCCAGGATAAAAGTCAATAAAAATATCGAATAGAAAGCACCATGATTACTTTTTTTTGGGTAACTGATCTCAAACTGACGTTCAAAAGATGACCTATGGAACTTTTAAAGGGAAAATCATTTTCAGCAAGTTTACCTTAACGTAAGACACATCTTTTTGTTCAAATTTCATGTGTTTTAATATTGCAGATTGCATAATTATTTAAAAAAAAAATCGACGGTTCCTTGATTATGTACGCAGATCGGTTTTCACCTCACTGTGGACTCCATTTTCTCTCACTATTCTGCGCTCGTTGGACGATGGGCAACAAAGTGACCCAGAGTTAATTGAAATAAAATCAACCTAAGTAGGTTGACTGAAATTAAAACAATCTGCTTATTAAGCCCACTGTAAGGGCACGTACCCTATTCCAGAACATCCTCAAACATTTTGAATGTGGTCAATTGGTGGAAAAGTGACTTCTAATGTGATGCAAAAGCTATATTTTATTAAGCTGTATGGAGATAATTTGTCGCACACCATGATTATATCACCAAAACAAATGTCATTTTGAGGTTTGCAACGGTTATCTTTCAAAGTCCAGAACTCGGTTAGTAGTACAGTTAAACACTCCTATTCTGTATTTCGTTTCGAACGAAATTCTCATACAAAAAAATATTTTTTTGTATGAGAATTTCGTTCGAAACGAAATACAGAATAGGGGTGAAAAATTAGAAAGTGGTGCATTCTACTAGATAATTTTATGTGCTTTCAGGCAAAAATATGGAACTCCAAATCAATTAATTTTAACTTTCAGAAACGGCTTGTTTAACAGAACCGTGTGGTCTAATCTGCAAGTCCACAAAAAAGTTAAGAAATTACATTTAAAACGGTAAAAAAAAAACATTTAAAAAAGGATAAGTAGAAACCGAGATACATTATTTTGAAAAAAAAAGTGTCGACTTCATTTTCAGTGTGATAGTCGAAGAGTTAATAGGAACATAGATGACAAAGAAGGACGCAGTGATAGGATCCCGATCGCCAAACCCATTCAAAACCCGAACCGGTGATTCATTTTATCATTTTTATTTGATATCAATCAATAATGAAATATTTTACTAACATACATCTGTTCTTAGTTCTCACCTTACTGTTTAAAATGTTCCTTCATATCGTATACATTGTTGTTGTTGCAATTTATTCCACCTTAATTATTGGATTGGATTTACGTCCTTATAATGCATTTTACGGTTTTGCTTACCTATTATCATCGATTCAACACGATCGACCACCTGCTAAATTCATTAGTCGATTCAGTTTCCTTTTCCCACTTCTTTCTTGTTTTATTTTAATTACTGTTTTGTACAAAATGAGCTTCAAGAAGATTTCTTTTCCCTTTTGTACAAAAATAAATTATATTGCAAAATGCTAGTTCTAGGTAACAAACAAGAAACTGAAAAAAAAAACAATTGCGAAAAAACGACATTACACTGTTGTCCCTTCCTATAGACTGCTTAAAGACATTTTGGAACTGCGTTTCCGCGCTTATGTAGTTGCTTTCCATCTATATACAGTTAATACACAAATGTGCTGCTTTGTGCATTCCGTAACTTACTTTCCGATGCAATAGGTTAAATGATTCCTTGTTCTTTTTTTGTTTGTTTGCATTAAATTTGGTTTCCTTAAATAGACTTTTACTGACGGGTAGAATAGGATTACTGTTTACCACAAATTGCGTTTATTATCATTGAGTTTTACTTTCTTTTTGCTTGGTTTTGCTTTTGGTGCAAACGCAATCGTATACTTGGTTTCGTTCACTTGTGTTTTCCTTTTTTGCTTTGCTTAAGTCTTATTTATCATTTTGGAAAGCGAAAGAAGTATGCTGTGTTTTGAATTTGAACACAATTGCTGTTTTTTTTCTTTTCTTCAGAATTGGAAATAAATTTGCCTTACTTGTGTTTCTAGAGTTATTGAAAAGTCGTATACATGTTTTCACTGGAGCAATTTGTTTGATCGTATACTTGGTTTCTTATCGAGTCCTACTTTACATCGATTAAAGTGCTTAAATAAATGTAGAAAAATTAACTAAATTTGATGATACATTCGTGTAATACTGGTATGGCAAAGTTCGGCTCCGTTGCTTCTTGCTGTACGTATCGGTTTTTTTTTTGGAGAATGTCCACTCTCTATATGGTTGCGGCAACTTTACCCTTCATTCTATTTTATACAAGAACGCCCGATGAATCGTTGGCCGCCGTCTTCGTCGTTTTTACTTAAATAACTGCAGTCAGTACACCGAATTGTGGTGATCGTAGTTATGCGCGTGCAAGTACGAGGGCATCGTCTGATTCAGCTCCGAGGCCCGTCTCCGCAGGGCGGCTATACTGTGACCTCGCCAGACGTCATCTTCGGCACCCTCGGCACCGCCCGAGCTTAGGCCTTGACAGTTGGAGATGTTGTGCGGGTTAGCACCTTGGTTGGACTGTTGAGAGAAAGAGAAGATGTTCGTTAAAAGAAGTCTTATGTGGACCCCACACGATGGAAGTTACACACTTAGTTTTTTATACCGAGCTCGGCTGTGCAAATCTCGGCAAAAGTGACATTTGATAGCTGAGTCTCGGATAATGCTAAGCTGAATCTCAGCAAACAAATGAAATGTTTGCTGAGATCTCAGTAAAACTTATTTTGCCGAGATTTGCACAGTCGAGCTCGGTAGAAAAAACTATGTGTGTATGTCAATATTTTCATCAATAATTCGACGTCAATATTTTCAACAATATTTTCGGTAGGGTCATTAATATAGGGTCACTCCTCACTAAAAAATGTTGCATCCGATGGACTATTCCAAGTGAAATGACAACCTTCCTGACAAACGATGCCAAAGACCAGGCCCCATCTGCTGCTGTAGTCATAGAATGGGGGAAAATTAGGAGAAATGTTGAAACACAAAATCTGACTTTTCTATGTTTAGGTCGATTAGGACAATATTTCAATCACTAGCTCCGTTTCGATCTTAAGTGGACCCTACACGACTGTTTGTATTGACAATAATCGTATTGTCAATACATTTCATATTGACGTCAATACATCAGTATTGCCAATATATCTGTATTCACATCATCAATATTATTGTCAATACTCGTAAGCAGTGTTGGGAAAATATCAAAAAATCAAAGCTCACCAACGCCCAAGATCACGCTTGATTTTCGTAGACAAGAATCAACAAGCAAACAACTGCGGTTGATTTTGCAAGCTGTGATATCGCAGCTCGGAATATCAAGCTAACAAAACTCACCAACTGCAAACCTCACCAAACTGTGGTGAGATTGAGGTTAATAATTTTTGCTTTACACCCGAATGCAACCGAAACTTCCACAACGGCTGGCAGCAGTCACTTCGTGTCTGCCATCGGTGAACAGTGAAAAGAGATAGCAAACTATACTTTCTCTTTCTAAGAAAACGATGAGCAATGAAATCATTTTTGTGTCTAGTCAACTCTCCGCTTGATTTTTGCACGTTGTGAATAGTCTCGCAATATCAAAGGAGCTTATAAAATCAATGTCAAGCATGATATTTTGTTCCAATATCACGCGTGATGTTGCGAGCGCATGAGAGCGGAAAAATATCAATTGATTTCTGATTATGCCAACACTGCTCGTAAGTATTGACAATATATCTTACCGTTTGGGGTTCGCTTTACGCTATAAATATTATTGACAATGCTTTTGAGTATTGACATTGAGCAATTTCAGGCCAAATCTTGCGGGAAGAGCAAATATTTTGCACTACACGATTGGATGAAACTTTTTTCATGCCTTCGGTATGGCAGATCTTTTATTTTGACCATTTCGATCGGATCCAAAAAATTTCATACGGTGTCGCAAAACTGCATAACGGTTAAAACATATATTTGCGTGGTTGAAATAGTGTTAAACTGTAATTGGTTGAGTATTAGTGATGAAAACATTGTGGGGTTTGATCCGTGAAGGCAGAGGGACTTTAAAAATATAAATTTCTCGCTGAGGAGAAATGAAGGAGAAGAATATACAAAAAGAACTTAATAAATTTAAAAAAAGTATTAGACATTTCTTGTAGGATATAAATCGACATATAGCTGGCACCGGTGGTGTAGTGGTAAGCGTGACTGCTTTCTCACCCCAATGGGTCTGGGTTCAATCCCAGCCGAGGTCGGTGAGTTTTTTGAGGCATAAAAATCTCTGGACACGTCTTCCTTCGGGGAAGCCGTTGGTCCCGACCCATGTGTGTTTGAATGGGTGTGATATCCTACGCAGGTGTGGAAGCTGCCTGCCTGCACATACGATTGCCGTCAATGGATGGCAATAGATTTTGTTGCAATAAACGAGCAGAATGCAAATAATTAATTAATATCTCCACAGTGTTATTACTGTCGTGATGCTGTCTTGAATCGTGATGCTGTCTTAAGTAAAGTTGTTCCTTATAGTTCAAGCTACGTTTACAGAAATTCCGAGCTTAATTGAGTTTGCTGAATCAGTTCTATGTACAAAAGAGTGAAGGAATACTATTTCTAAATACATTTCAACCAATCTCCCCCAGTGTTCACTCGGCTGTCGACAAAAGCAGACCACTCCAATGTGTGTCACGCGATCGTCTGTTTACTCGGCAGTAACCATTGTGTGGTTCTCCTCATTGTTCTTCATCAGCAGTTCTTTCAGCCGATGCGTCGTCGACTTTGCAAAGCAACCGTTTCGTGATGAGTGTGTGAGTGCTGACCACGTTTTGCGTCCATTGCTACAATGGAAGTAAACCACTGGAAGCGGCTCCCGTTCTGGTGGAGGCGGCTTATTGAATAGCGGAAGATAAAATGTTTATTGTGTTGTACCTTTTGACTATAGTTTTAAGATGTATTGTATAGTGAACAAGAATCCTCGGCTCTGTAAAGTTAATTCGGTTGAGCCTTATCAAATAAATTAATAAACAAAACAAAAAACAATCACCCATTGTAAATTTTAAATCAAAAGCGCCAGCTCGTGTTACATCCGAATGAGCTGAAAGTTTCAGAGAGTAGTTTTCTCACCTTATGGCACAAATTTAGGGGTTGGCCCGTTGAAAAAAAAAAAAAATTATAAAAATTTCGTCCATATAAATGTGGGCCAGTCTAATTAGTATAGCATTTCCAACCAACTCTGAAAAACGTCAGCTTCACGTATGAAGTAAATTTAAAATAGGTCAGTTAATTCCGTAGAAATTCAGGAAACTTTGTGTAACTTCAGGAAACTTGGCTGAAAATCAACGAAATTTTAAAAAGTTCCAGAAAACACCTGCAGCAAACTTCATAGGAATTCCGAAAACTTATTACGTAGCAATTCAAGGAATATCGTTAAACTTGATTGAAGTGCAGGGATTTTTTTTTAGAGTTCAAGGAAACTTCGTAGGAGTTCAGCAAAAATTGAGAAGCTCGGTGAAGTTCAGGGTTTGATTTGGAAATTTTGGGAGCTTAGTTTCGCCCAGATGCTTAGGACAATTCGAAGAGGTGGTTCAAGGTCTTTTCTGATGTTAGGAGAAGGTCATGGATGCTTGAAGATCTAGGACGATTTGAAAGAACTTGGAAGAAGTTGATGAAACTTAATAGAAATTGAGAAAATATTCAAGAACGATTGGGGATGATCAAAGAGCAATAGAGCAATTTTTCCACCCCTCAGGAATTTTTGCTTGATTACGGTGCTGTTTGAATTGTTTTGTTTTTTTGACGTTCTGAGACAACAATAATGTCTGTAAATTTCAAATTAAAGAAATTTTTTAAAACCCTGACATTAAGGAATTTTCAAGAATTTGGAATGAAAATAAATATTCAAGAGATCGAATATTTTAAAAGAACGTATTTTTTTTTTAATAAGTGATTTGCAAAAGTTTTACAGCTTTAATGCATGAATTTGATGGGAATTTAAAAGGAACCCAAGGGATAATTTCAAGGGAATTCAAAAGAGAATTCTAAGGGTAAAATTGATAGGAACACTTGAAGTGATATGTGAGGATGAAGTTAATATTGTTGAACTCCAAATTCCAGATGAAACGTTAGGTTGTGGTTCTGAGCAGAATCCCATGAGAATCATGAGTAGGATGCAAAGTAAATTTTCAACCGAATTCTGAGATGGATTCCAAGGTAATTTTAAAGAGAATTCCTACTAAAGAGCAAGATAATTTTTAGGAAAATTTCTAAGGGATTTGTAAGTAGAATTCCAAGAGATGAAGGAGAATTTAAGTGATGGGATTTGTTTTTAAAGTTCAAGGAACTTTTAAGAAATTCAGCAAAACATGGAGAAGTTTAGTAAACTTCGGAGAAGTTCAGGGTTTGATTTGAAAATTTTAAGAACTCTTTTTTTAATAACTTTAATATTGAGATCTTTAGTTTCACCCAGATGTTTAGAACAATTTGAAGAGATGGCTCAAGGTCTTTCCTAATGTTTGGAGATTTTGTTTGAATTGAAAGAACCCGTAAACAAATATTATGAAGCTTGGGAGAAGTTCTGGAAATAATTCAATGAACATTCTGAGAATAACGCCAAAAGAACTCTAAGGAAAGTGTCAAGGAAATTTCCTACGAAATTTTGAGGTAAATTTTAAATGAATGCTCAGGATAGTTTCAAGGTTATTCCTGTAATAATTTTTAGAGAACCTAAATAAGAGTTCCAGGGAAATTCTGAGGCGCATTTCATTAAATTAATGGAACTACTCCAGGAGAATACTGTGCAGCATTTAAAGGAAATTCCGAAGATGTCAATAGGAATTTTGGGAGAATAGTTAGTAAATACCAAGGAGCGTCGAAGAAACAAAAAAGTTAGATTTTTTATTTTAATGATAATAAGAACCACCCTAGAATTCATTGTCATTAAAATTAGGGCCTAACTATAAGGAACAACTTTGTAGAAGAGACTTTTAGTCTAAAGTTTGAATTTCAGGCTCAAAACATATCATTCGACCTAAATCTGCATTCTGGACCACTGTGCACTGTACGACTTTCGACTGTTACGTACAGATAACATATTAACGCTTTAAAAATTGTTTAAGGTGTTTCGCTGTGAGATCCTTATCTTCGCTACTACTTCGAAACTTTAAGTGCACAAATATCAGCTTCCACGACACGTACCACAATGAAACTGTTAATCCACGTTTGATGCGCTGCAGCATACATGCAGTAGCAATTTCAGGTGAAATGGGGCACTAATTTTCGAGATTTGTGTAATTGAAAATTCGAGGTGGAGCATTTATAGCCTACATGGCAGCCATTTGTGGACTCTACAAGGAATCACCTTAAGCCGACTCTATATGGCATTACCCCGACACAATACTCTCAAAAAACTGCTCATGTTAAAAAGGAGTTAATTTCAAGAGAGATACATGACTAGGGTAGACGTACCAGTCATGACTATACGTATATGGGTAATTCCATTTGCCATAATTGGAACACACCATAATAGGAACGTATAGGGAGTAGGCTGTACGTTCGTTTTCTCTTCGGAATTTTGTTCCACGTATATTTTCGGTTGATGATTCGGTCGAAATTACTGAAGGATTTATTCCGATTAATCTCCCATGCTAGAGGTCCATCTGTGTTTATCACGTGGTCCTGGAGCTCCTTCCAAGTGTAAACAATATATACCCAGCACCTTCTTTCTCGCGTGGGCGTTCTGTGTTTGTTTCGATTACAAGGCCTAACCACTAGACTGAAGCAAAATTTGAAATTTTCGGTCCATAGTGTTAAAACGTTCCAAATAGGGCCCTGATCAGTCTCCCAAAATTTGAACTCATTTAGTGAGAAACTGAATTGGCACAAACCATTTGAAGTTTATGTTGGAAATAATATGGAGAAACCATAATTTCGATTCATATCTATCTCAAAATTCACCAGTTCACTATACTTTAGAAAATGATAGCTGAACTTGTTGAAAATTTTCTCAGCTACAACTTTGTTCAAGACCACTTTTCGATCAAATGTAAGGAACAAAAGTTATTAATGATTCAAGTCATTAATGTCTTATGATTATGCTCAATCAACTGTTCAGCAGGCAACATTGGTGTTTATGGCGCGTAGAAAAGAGGACAAAAATCATGGCTACTATGTCACACTGCAAAATACAGTGTTGCCCACAATACAGTTGCTTAATCTTGCCATAAGATTATCAATCTCTTAAATAATTAATAACTACTTAATTTGCCGTTTGGCTGCAAAATGATTTCCTGCAAAGTTGTAGCTGATAAAAATTCCCATAAGAATAGTAATAGAATTTGTTAACAGTACAATATGTTTAAAGGCTAGAAGATAATGAATAAAAAGTTTTGTTTTCCCATAGTAATTTCCATATAAACTTCAAATGGATTGTGCCAAGTCAGTTTCTTATCAAATGAGTTTAAACTTTCGGAGGCTAATCAGGACCCGGTTTGAAACCGTTTAAACACTGTGGAGCGAAAATTTCAAATTTTGCATCAGTCTACTAACCACCTACATAGTTTTGCAGGTCCGTATCCTCACGAATCCCACGTGTCCAGAAAAACGCAAAGTGTAGTGTATGCAGTAGGTATCGATTATGATATCGAGAATCATCACAATCTGTTTGGCTATGAGAAAAATTGGTGAAGATTTGACCATCCATTTAATAAACATTAAATTTATCCCAGTACATAACATAAAATGAATTTCTAAATGTAACCATATTCAAAAACTAAATACGACAGAACATCGCTTGCTGACTGTTGCCGCGGGTATTGTGAGTTTCCTAGGTACAGGATTCAACCACAGACAAACCGACATGAATGACCATAGCAAATACAATAACATATCAGACCAAAGGACACTACTGAAATCTGGCTCCGTGGTCGCGGGAAATATTTAGCTAAGCCATGAACCCGCATGCAAAAGTTATGAATTGGTTCGTGTCTGATCTATTCTGGAAAAAAAAAAACTATTTTTATCTAGATCAAAAAATCGTATGGTTTTGACAGTTCAAATCACTGCACATTTAAATCGGTTTATGATTTTCGGGCATAAGTCAGAATTAAGTCACCGACAAACCGACATGAAACTTCAACTTAACTCATGATCAAGAATCCATAACGGCGGATTCAAATCTGCAGCGATCCCATCTGTCAAAACCATAGAAATTTGTTATCTAGATAAAAATAATTTGCCCGGAATAGATTAGACACGACAACGAGACCTCCTTTAGCTCAGTCGGTAAAGGCACAGCTACAAAGCAAGACCATGCTGGAGGTGGCTGGGTTCGATTCCCGGTCCAGTCTAGGAATTTTTCGGGTTGGAAAATTTCTCGACTTCCCTGGGCATAGAGTATGATGGTGCTTGCCACGCAATTATACTAATACAAAAATGGTACAGGCATCGAAAGCTCTCAATTAATAACTGTGGAAGTGCATCTAGAACTAAGTTGAGAGCACGCAATAAGCTAATATGCTATACGCAATAAGCTTGAAATGCGAGGAAGAAGAAGAAGATTAGACACGAACCAACTCATACATTTTGTATGTGTGTTCGTGGCTAGGATACACATTTTTTGCGAACACGGCAGCAGATGTCAGTTTTGTGCTGTGATCAGAAATTTGATGATACTTTGTATGGTTGTTCATGTCGGTTTGTCAGTGATTAAGTGTCATGTCGGACGCCTTATCTTGCCTCAAAACTTATCCTTTTTAAGTACTGAGCTTCACGACATAAAGGGCACTATTACGGAGCATTAAATTTGATCAAATTATTCGCAGTTCTATTGGTTCAACGCTCTCAGCTTGGTGAGGGGTAGAGGATGTCAACACGCCATAATAGAAAAGTATGTCATGACTGGTACATATACCCTATTGGGCATTCAAGTTGAATTGTTCAATCGTTTTTTTCTTCAGCTCATGATTGAAAGTAAGAGACAACTCTAAAAGCGAGAAATTACTTGCGAGCTTTTTCAGTTTAATTGTTCAATAACTTTTAGCTTTAACTAATAATGTTTGTATTACTTCATGTGCGAAGTTAACGATTTACATAGTTAGAGATGCTTAATGTCAAATATCAGACTAAAGGTAGTCATGATATACGATCGATGAAACTATAGAGTTGATAGTTCCTTTAAAGTACGGCAGTGTGAAAATCGTATATAGAGAGTAGAAAGCGAGCAAAGGTTAATTTTGAGGATGACACGAATCGGGTTGATCATCCCCTTTACCAAACTCCCCTGTTGGGGAGAGATGGTAAGGGGTATCTCCCCCCGCCACCACAGAAGTTGAATTACTCAAATTTAGTAGAAGTTTCTGTGGTCATACTAATGAAATTCGGAGGTTTTGTCTCGTTGTAATAGCCTTAAGCCGAATTCTTCAATTTGCAATGGCACAGCCAGGATAGGGTGCCAACACTTCCAAACATATCGACCTATATTCCTATTTGGACCCCTAGCTTGCGCTTAGAATTGAAGCAGCAAACCGTCTCTAAAATGTCTGCCTCAACAAAAATACATTTCATTCAGTCCCATTCTGAACTGGAATCTTCGACCTCTAAACTAAAATGATCCTTACCATATCCCCGTTGGCGTTGGGTTCGTTCTGACTAGCACCTTGCTGTTGCTGTTGTTGTTGTTGCTGCTGTTGTTGTTGCTGCTGCTGCTGCTGCTGTTGCTGCTGTTGCTGTTGCTGTTGCCCACTGGATAACGGCGGCGTCGACGACGAGCAAGCGTTGATATTTGGCGGGGTCGAAGTAGGTGAGCCTCCCGTGCAACCAACGCCACCTACCGAGTGCTGGTACATCATGGTATCACCTGGAAAGGCAATATCTGAGATTAGCGTTCAACTCGGCAGTTCTTCATCGTGATTAGAGATTTTCGGGACAATTCGGGGATTACCCAAAGCGTTCAGTCCGTAGTTGTGATAGCCGCCGGCTCCCATAGCGGACGAGATATTGATCCCCGAGTTCAACCCGCTGTTCAGGGAGGACGTCAGAGACGAGGTTTGATTCAATTGACCGAACCCTGAGTGCGGTTTGTTGGTTTGGTTTGCATTAGTACGAGTAGTTGTTGTTAGTCATTAGCAAACATGGGAGTAGCAAGTAGAATAAGAAGAAGGAGCAAAAACAAAAGTTAGTTTCAATTAGTTGGTGTTGTGATTACGTGTGGTCGCCCTGCTTGGTTTAGCGAGGAGAAGTGCTTCTCAACTTACCGGCAGTCATTGGGTTGACACCCACTCCCCACCGGTCGCCGCCGAACATCGATGTCCCGCATAAGCTTTCGCTCATGGCAATATTGGTAATGTTGGCTCCGAACGGTGGCAAACCGTGCGACGGCAGAAGTCCTCCTGTTTCGCCGGCAAAAAAAAGAAGAGGCATTTGTTTAACGATTTTTGTTTCGGAAAGTCGTCACAAATGGGCACTTACCAGGCGTTCGAAACACATTGGTGGTCTTCTTCCGTTTCTTCCACTTGGCACGCCGGTTCTGGAACCATACCTGCAAAACAAAGAAAATGGCAATTTAATAAATTTTAAAGATCCCGTTACAAATCAAAACTTCGTTAAAAGTAATGCTAACTAATTTTTCTCCCGGAAGAATACAAAAAAAACGAAATCCGTTGAATGTGGGTGAATCTCGCTTCACACCATCCCCTTAAACCAGACTGCTTTGTTCCCAGAGGGACGTCGTCGCGCCCTATTTACGGCCACCACCCCTCAAAGAGTCATCTTGCGACGCGTGCTATTTATTATTTATCGTTGTTTATCATTATGGTTATGATTATTAGGTATGAAATTGCACAGCAAAGAGACTTTAAAGGAAAAATAAGCTATGTCATATGCATGAATCCTTGGATGTGCGACAAAGACACCAGAGGAAAACAATCATCAGGAGATATGATTCTGGTTCTAGCTGGATGAGCGTTTCCTGACGGTCGGGTGGGTACTTAAATAATGATCTACGATTATGATGGTGTAGGTTTTCGGCGGTTTTTGTTTTTTTCGAAACCGGAAGAGCGAGTCGAAATTCCATTGCTTGTGACCTTAACCAGAAGAATCTCGGAGCTCTGGAGCGGAGATGGTAAACTAATTCAACTTTTTTTAATCGAGCTAGGGGAGAATGCATTATTATAAATTCATGGATTTGAATATTAGAGCAGCAGTATGTCACCTTGTGTGGCGTAGAAATGCAAGTGCTGGTGTGGTTTTACTTTGACAGTACGATATATTCGTGCTGATTTTGAGTTTAGCTTGTAGGTTACAATTGGTATTTAGAATAGAATTATCAGTATTGAGCTTAGTATATATGATATTGATTTTGTGTGTGCATATATAGCATGCTTGATGGAATTGTTGAACATTATTGCAAAACAGTTTTCTCAAACGAGAGTGGCTATTAGCGACAAATAGACTGAATGTGGCATCCTTTACAATGCGTTCCGATATTTATGTTTAGATGTATCTCTGGAGTATAAATGTCCGAATAGTAAAGGACGAAGACCGGCAAACGGAAAGCGGTGGCAATTTCAGTTTCAGTAGAATGCTAGTCAATACGATTGCATGATTGCGGAAGATAAAGTGTTTATTGTGTTGTACCTTTTGACTATATTTTTAAGATGTATTGTATAGTTACCAAGAATCCTCGGCTCTGTAAAGTTAATTCGGTTGAGCCTTATCAAATAAATTAATGAACAAAAAAAAAACGATTGCATGATCATTACATCCCGGAAACGGGATGTTATTTAAAAAAAAAACAATACAAGTGGCAGCGACAAATACGAAAACGGAGTTCAAAGTCGCAAAAATAGATCCGTCAAAATGAACCGAAGGTTCTCAGAAGGCTATGAAATTTTGCCCACAGGTAGAGTTTATGATCAAACATTGAACAAATTTGGGGAGGTCAATTTTCCCAGAAAACTTAAGTTGAAGATTTTGGAATTTCCCGGACATCACGTACTTTGCAAACTCATAACTCATGAACCAAGCATCATAGAACAATTTTGTAATAATGAAATGATAAAGAAATTATCTCAAAAATCCATATAAAATCAAATCTGAAAACTATTTCCTACGAAAATATTTACAATGGAGTAAATCACAACGAAAAGCAGGAAAAACTATTTCCTGAGCGATGATTTTTTTTCCTGCTTCTTGATTGGCATAGAAAGCTCTCAATTAATAACTGTGGAAGTGCATCTAGAACATTAAGTTGAGAGCCGGAAAACGCTCGCTACAGAAGCGTTAAAAGCTAGAAGAAGAGGAAATCCAAAAGGAACACAGTAGTATTCAGACAATTTGGCAACGTGATTTGTTTTGTTTACAAAAGCTGCAAGCACTTGCCACGGATTAAAATGTTTAAAATGTTCCAGCTTTGTGCGTGACTTTGTCGTTGCCTACTGTAAGAGTTTGTTTGTTTACGTTGTTTGCATTCTCAGTGAACTGGTGAACTATTTTTGCCAAGTTTTGCGATAACTGTGAAATTCTGCCATTGATTGAAGAATCCGATTGCAGGCGTCCACTCGCAATGACGATACGATGAGGAAGAGGACGAGAGACGATCGCTGCGTGCTCTCGTAGTCTGCCGTCACATCAGCTGAGGAGTGCAGGGTTATGTTCGTAGTAAATAGTGAGCGGCTAGCATCTCTATGCGGGGGGTATTCAATACCGCACATCTCCCTCATCCATTAAAAAAAACATCGATCGTAGTATCTTGAGAATCTTGAGAAGAATGACTTCACGGAAAGAGGCGGAAAGGAACACGTTTTTGTTACCTTCACTCACAGGCAATCAAATGTAAGATGTATCAATATTATTCATGATGATGATGGACATCTGCAGCTCAAATTCTGTGTACATCGCACAACTGCATTGACCAATGTGCAACTGTTTTTCGTAAAATAGTAGGTGGTGTGTGTCTCCAGTAAAATGCCTTGGCTCTCTTATCATTTTCAAGAGGTAACATTTACTAAATTTTCCTTGAAAAGAAAACTGGCATCACTGATAAGTTCTTATTTGGGAATAATTGCCAAAAACTTGCGCCTACAGTTGCTGGAGATTCTGGATCTACACTGTTCTTCTCATGCTCGAATCTCTTAATCTCTACCAGTTTCTCTTTTCCCTTCACAACCTGCTTTATCCTTTCCAATAATATCAAACATACACAACTGGGGTGTCTTAGTAGGAGTAAATGCAACTATCTTCAAATTATCTGTGTAGCTTAAATGTACCGGTTAAATGAACAAACAAGCCATCTTGCAGAGCTCCTTAAGCGGAAGGTTCTACTTAAGGTTCTAGCATTGCTAGATATAGGGTCCGCTCAAGATGCTACCTGGGTGGCCATTCAACTACGACAAAGAAAGATATTGGAGTGATTGTTCCACATTATCGGGAGCGAGACTGACCATGATCGTTTTCCTTCACTGGTGCGTTCGACAATCATTTTTGTTTGCATTCACCTTACCTCCTTGTCCATTAAACCCGTATCTTCAATTTGCTTCGGAATTTTCTTCAAAGCCTTAATCAATGCCACCTTGTCGCTATTTCGCCACTGAATTTGACTGAATTTTATGTAAATAAGTTTCTTAAAATTAAACATCTTCCTGTTCAACGATTCATCCAGGTAATGCAATTTAACTATATTCTGGGTTTGTTCGAAATTAAAACATTACTCATAATTGGGTTTACTGTTTTAAGCATGTACAAAAAAAAAAACATCTGTTAAATCAATTTTTTTTAGGTGTTCGTGACCTTATTTGTTTGCGGAGTACTCCATCTCACAACTATATTGGAGCCGGGTCAAACAGTAACGTCCATTGATCTTGCAAGTTACAACTATCCTGAGAGCATTTGCTTCGCAGACTTTTGTTTTGATTTTCAAACCTTTAATGCGTCACGCCGGTGGTCTTCCTAATGCACCATTAACCACGTTCGATCAATTTTCCATAACATAATTCACTTTCCATCATTATTCCGGTAGTTTTCCAGACGCAGTAATAATTACTTTCGATCAATACTCCGGTGGTCCTCCAGACGGAACATAATTCATATTCGATCATTGTTTCGGTGGTCTTTCCGACTCACCTTTGACTAGCAATTGTCGCAAACAATTTATGAACAACATGGTGATGGTCTTCCAGACGCACCTTGGATTATTGTAAATCACAAATCATTAACATTCCGGAGTCTACTAGACGCATCTTAACAGGTCACAAACCACTGACACCAATATTTTGGCGGTCTTCTAGACACGCCATTGCATGTCGATTTCCGATGGATTTCGAGACACATCCATCTTTAAGTCAAACTGCATATACTGCACATGCTTCAGTGGTCTTCCGGATACACAATGTGTACCAGTCTACGAAACGGTTTGGACCAATTCTCCGGTGGTCTTCGAGACGCTGCATGCATCGTCTTATGAAATGAAATGCTTTCAATTAAAAGCTCCGGTGGCCTTCCAGACACACCTTGCAGCATTCCTAGCCACACACAAAATGCACAATGCTTTATGCCAAATACACGAGGTTTCCAATCAAAGCTCCGGTGGTCTTCCAGACACACCTTGTGGCGTTTTCGAACCACAAACCAAAAATCTGCGCAATGCTTTGTCAGAATACGCAGTTCTTTCAATCAAAGCTCCGGTGGTCTTCTAGATACACCTTGTGGCGTTTCTAACCACAAACCAAAACAATCAGCACATTGTTTTATTCCAGAATACTCAATGCTTGTAATCAATGCTCCGGTGGTCGTCCAGATACACCTTGTGGCGTTCCACAAGCCAAATTTCACATTTTGTTCGGACGCAACTGTATGAAAAATGTGAATCCGTTTATAATGACCTGGCAGGATCGCCAATGTGAAATTCTGCCATTGATTGAAGAATCCGATTGCAGGTGTCCACTCGCAATGACGATACGATGAGGAAGAGGACGAGAGACGATCGCTGCGTGCTCTCGTAGTCTGCCGTCACATCAGCTGAGGAGTGCAGGGTTATGTTCGTAGTAAATAGTGAGCGGCTAGCATCTCTATGCGGGGGGTATTCAATACCGCACAATAACCAAGAAGTGCATCGGAGTGTAGCAATTTGGTTTTTTTTTTAGTTTCCAAAAAACGCTAAAATTTGCCAAAAAATGATGCGGTTTGGACTACCTTCGGATTTTTTCCTAGTGGATTATTTGACTGGTTAAAATGTAATGCTTGAGAACAACTGGTGCACGTTTGATCAAAGTAGTCTACCGCATTCAGAAATAACGTCAAATGAAATTCAAAAAAAAAAAAAATATTGTGCACCTGGAAAATCCGGAGTGGTGGTTCCAAGCCGGCTAAAGTGCTGAAGATGCCGAAAACAACAGTTTGTCGAGTGGTCAAAACCTACAAGGAAACCTTGAGTGTGGAAAGGAATCCGCGGACCAACGAAAAAACTGGAACCAGGGATCGTCAGCTGCGCAGCAAGGTGTAGAGGTGCGTTAAAGTCAACCCTGGTCTTTCGATCCGAATTAT